GTAAGGTCAGCCTATTCTAAAAAGCCAAACAGCACTGTATAGCTGCAATGTCCTTATTGGAGATCATTAGCAGTGCATATCTCACAAAAATTGAGCAAGTCTCGAACCTGCGACATCCCGGAAAGTTGTTTGAACACTTAGTAGTTTGGCCAAGCGTGACTCGCGAGAGTTTCCTGGGATATGCACAGCTGAAAATTCCCAGTAAGGACATAGCAGCTTTACATTATTTTCGTAAAGGAAACTACTCACAAGGTTGCTGAAAACTCTTCGACAGCCCATGACTGGTTTCGCCCTTCCTGGGGTTCGTCAGGTAGGCGCAGTCCACGCGTTTCCGTCAACCTTATGTTCTACTTTCCATTAGTCCTCGGATTTTCAGCGCAGGCCGCGCCTACTTACCATAAGAAATCTCCATCAATTTTTCCAAATCTCCTCAAGATTCCAACGACGTCTTTTGAATATTGTGTATTCGTCAGTGCCGTGAGTTCGAAGCAATTTCTCGTCGGTTTAGCTATGGTTTTCGTGGAGTTTTCCATCTGCGTCCCAACAAAAATGTATCCCCTAGGCATTCTTCGCATTTTTGAACCACGGAACATCAATATGTTGGCATTTTATCTAGTTTGGTCGTAGTTTGCTACAGAACACAACAGCTCATTCAGATTTAGATTGCTAGGGATTACGTTCATCAAATTACTGCTTATATTATGATGTGAATAACTGCATTTGGGCCTAGGAATACTCTATAGCCCGCCTGTTGCTGCGGTGAATAAACATCAGTGCACACTCTTCGTAAAGGCTGAATTCACTAATTTTCGTAAAGAAGTTTCAACAATTTGCGGATTGGCCAATGTTGACTGATTCAACTTGACATTGGACGCCATCTTTCTGTCAAACATCTGTCCATGACTCAGTGTAAGCCCATCCAACTTGCAGGACCTTTCACTTGGTGGTTACTGGTTGGATGATTTTTGTGTGTCTACTAAAATGCCTTACAAAAATAAAAAGGCCAAAAACTCATTCCCACACTATAGGGCTTCGGCCTAATGATAATTTCATCCACACTGGACCATGAACATTCCAGTTTCTCAGTAAGTATTCCATGGATTATCACAAGAAATGGAAAACTCTAAACCTTGACAATATTATCTGCTGACTGATGATGCATTCTTGTTCTGCGGAAATGGGTTCTTGAATGGCGTCAATTGTGACGCGTTCTTGTTTCATGTCACATCAAAATGAACTTCAAAGTGGAAGTATCTCCCCGAATCCCGTTATCCTACCAGATGAATGGCCTGGTACTTCTACACATGATACTTGGACGCCTCACAGCCAATTATTTAATTCGAGCTAACCAAATGGGACGTTTTTGGTGCAGGAATCAGATTTGTTCAGTTAAAACAACCAAGTGAAGACAATCGCCTGGATCAGGATGTCATTTGTCCGTACTTTCAGGCATCACTTGACTGGAATAGAGTCTTAAGACTCCCAGTAGATTAGTTATAGTTGTAGTTATTACCTGTTGCACATATCTGTAATAGTTAAGGGATTGTGATGAACCATCCATCGAACAGTGCATGCGAACATTTTACCAGTACATACATTCATGCGTAAAACCTGAAGATGCACCAGCCTTGAGATTGGAAGTTTAAGAATTGTTTCCGGTAGGGGTATAATCTGATTTTAAACACCAGCTGAAACGTCCACTGGTATTCTCGACGCAACAGACACCACGATTTCTCTCTCAGACTCCAAAATCAACCAGTGCAGTCAAAAAATGAACGAGATGAACCGCCAATTAACATGTTTTTCAATTTTCTTTTAGTCACAGTTGAACCTAAGACAATTTTAAGGGGCTCCTTTTTAGCCGTTTTGTAGAAAAGTGCGGTTCTCGATTTGTAATAGGAAAACTGTGACCTCTTGTATACAAGCGTGACAAAATGGACACGTGATTTGCTGAGAACAAAGCAGGACAATTCCTACGTTCTAGCTTCAAAACGGACACCTCACCCTATTCATACATATCCAAAGAGGTATAGTAGATCTAGCCCTGGTTTCCGACATAGTTCTTTCATAATGAGTGAATAGACCTTTTATGTACTGTGGGACTGCCCTGAAGTAGCTTAAGTCAGTGTGAGATTGAATTGCACTTTTCAGGGACATTGCCCCAACCCTTTACTAAATCGATTTGTTCAACATCTGTAGAGGTTGTAAAACATTCAAAATTTTGGTTCTTGGGTCACTTACAAAAATACCCACTGGCTTATTTCTTCAATAATGCGCCTGTCAAACTCCATACACTCTGTGCTATCTGGTTGTAAACAGCACCACACCATGGCCATTATGCTAATATTTCCCGGAAGAACCAACATTTTCATAGCCCCCATTGATAGCAATATTAATTCAGGATCTGTACACGTGGACTGACTACTCAAATTCCTTTCAGTTTCGTTGGTTTGACATACTGAGCAAGCAGCTGAACTCTAATGGAAACGAATAGTTGCGGTTCGGTTGCACACTTGCAATGCTTTCCTGAGTTTGATTCGTCAATGCATAATTTATTAGCACTAACCTTGGTGATATAGCTTCGAGGCAAATTCTGGCCGATATGAAATTCAGGCCAAGCTACCTGCCAGTGAAACTGCGTTAGTGGTGACAAGACACTCCCTCATATTTATCCTCCGAAGGCTTTGGCTAATTGCGCTACTACTGGAAAGCACGGTTCTTCAAGATCTGGTAAGAACTTGTTTGAATTCAACACAAAAGCAGGTGGCATGTTGAACACACGAGGAGCATGAGATTGGATTCAAGATATTTCCAACTGTTGGCCGCAGTGAAGCAATTCATGCAAAACACGCGTAAAGATGGTAAACCGACTGATAACCGATGGAAGACGATGGCGATTTGAGTGCACGTAGACAAAACAGACTGACGAAAAACTGTGGCTTTAGATACCGTATAACTGGTTCGAGTATAACTATGTTTATAAATGTTTGGTGTTAGGTGATTAGACGAGGCTCTCACAACCAGACACCTCCATAAGGTGGTCCTAGGTTTTCGAGATTTCTGTCTGTTAAGTTCGGTTTCTTCAGTTTATATTCTTGCTTATTGAGGATATGTTTTATGTCTACGTGATGGCGAGTCTTCTGCTCAAGGATAATTTTACCCCAGCTATCGTTGTCGAAAGTTTGGTGAAACGAAGAAGCAGGTCTGTGATGATTTATGATGTTTGTGGGTGGTTATTGAGCTGAAACGATGATAGACTGGACATTTTGGGGATAATGAGTTTGGAGAGGGCGGACACGCGTGTTATTGACTTCGCATGAGTTCAGATGAAAAAAGTTGCTCACATCCGAATTTCGTTGCCGAGAACCAAAGGCTGACTTGTCCCCAAAGGAACTTAAGGAAGTCAGAGGAACATAAGGTTGACGGAAACTCTGGGACTGCATCTACATGATGAGCCCCATGAAGAGCGAAACCCTTCATGGGCTGTCGAAGAGTTTTCAGTAACCTTGGAAGTAGTTTCCTTTATGGGACCTAAACATTGTTCTTAAACCCGTTTGGTGGCACCTGACCTAGTGTTTGCTAATATGCTCATAGAGCTTGAAAATTGTACTGTAAATATTGTGCCACCATTTGAGATGACGCGATCACCTACTGACGGCGTACAAATCAGCAACCACCTATTCAACTACTAATAAAGGCACCCGGACCGATAATCAGATAGGCAGACAGACTGATCGATAGAGGAGCAGATAGACAGTAAGAACTTGCATGTTTTTATTTAAAGTTATACAAAGTGTAGGAACAGTACCCATTAATTTGAAGTTAAAGAAATCGAGGTTAACACAGAAATCGCTCCACAGATCCAAAGATGCAAGAAGTCATAGTCTAGCCTATCTTTGAGATGACATCCACTTAGCCTGTCATCATGAAGGAGGCGTGTTCTCTGCGTTTGTTATATTTGGAAAAAACAGGCTACTCTAAAAGTAACATGAACTTTAAACACCTGAGTACCCTTCAAGTCAGCAGCTATTCTTTAAAAGAAAAAAGAGATTTGCGATGCAAAATTTTCTTTTAAAAAAGGAACCTTGATTTGAGTTCATACTATATTTGTGTGACGTCACACTTTCTCAGGATTAGTGAGTTCAAATGAGTAAATTTGAATCAGGTAAAACTCACGTATGTGGCGGGTGGATATCTTATGCAGTGAATATGACATACGTTATTCCATCTCCCGTTCTCCAGAGTTATAGGTTTTCATGTGAACTTGTTCAAGCAACGCAACACTGGCGTCGTCGAAAATACAACAATAAAGAAATATTGCTTTGTGAACCACATCAAACGTGCCTCTACTCGACAGAATCATGTTCAAAATTCAGAAAGAAGTTAACTAACGGGCAAAAAAGCCCCCAATCCAGTGAAGTTGAAAAATCGCAGCCAGTTTACCGTCTTATTTTGCATAAATGAATTATGTTGGCGATTTATTACAAAGCAAGATGCATAATGATCAGTCTGAAAAAAAGTCTTCAAAATGTAGTCTCATGGGATCAATAAAAAATAATTTATTTGTCCCAAATCCGTAAAATCAGAGCAAGGTAATAGTTTCACCAAGAATTATTGTTCTGAGAAGAGTAGGTGAATTTAAAAGCTCTGAACAAAACAGTCAATTGTGCTTGTTAAATAAGTTTATCTTTCTTAGTGAAAAAAAATCTTCACACCGCTTACTAAAATGTTCTCATTTTTCTGCGTCGCCAGTGTGCAATTTAACGGTGAGTTTTCTTATCTGGCAATTTTAGGTTTACGTACATCTAAATAAGATTTTTTTCACTACTTATACCACAATTGGATGTTTATCTACCCTAAATCTGATGGACCTCCGGCACTGAAATGGCGCTTTTCGAAGAAAGCCATATCCCTTGACATTATGTACTACTCACAAAGTTGCTGAAAATTTCTAGGCATTTTGCGACGCACTCCTACTTCTTTAGGCTCATCAGATGGGTTCAGTCTCCAGGTTTTCCGAAAATTTCCTGCTCTGGTGGTTGGTCCGATGGCAGTTGATCTGTTCGTCGAGCTTGGCAACTGGCTTGCGAACTTTTTGTCCCCAGTCGAGGAGACACCGCCAGTGCGCAGCTGAATGACCCATTCAACGATGTGTCCTCGTCTGGGGACGAAACGTTTGCAAGCCAATTGCCAAGCTCGGCGAACGGATCAAATGCCATCCGATCAACCACCAGTAGACACACCCGAGCTACCTATATTTCGACAAATCGTCCTTTTTGCTTTCATCTTATAGTTTCTCAGGCGCTGATCACGTCGAATGTTGATGAATAGGGATCGTAATGATATCGTGACAGAATGCTTTTTGTTAAGTACGTAACGTGTGAAAATTTACATAAAAGAGTTATCTCCTCCAGGTTAGCTGCATTCCCCATGTGAACCAATGAGCCTGTGGTTGTAGCGTTTGACTAATGCTCGTGGGTGACGAACGAGCGGATATGCCACTGAAAGGATATCAAGTTTGTGTCACAAATATATAAATGGTGTGCCTCCTTCAGATTAATTATGGGTGGCCATTTGCACATAAAACTTAGGACACAACATATTAGCCCTCAAAAGAGACTGGAAAAACGTGCCTTGGCAATTTTTATCTCAATGAGACGCCTTTCCTCTCTGAGTGAGGCATTTGACACTGCAAGTGTAGTCGAATTGGTTGCGGATGCAGTTGACCAGAATGCGCCTCAAGACACTCATCTAACTCTCGGAATTTCATTCACTACTTACAGTCAGCCTAACAAGTTGGGACAAAATTGTAAACGTTAAAAGCAATTCATTATCAGTTCTGAAATGTCATTGGTGGACGACATCTTAAGCACCGTATCATCTGGAACACGCGATGACCTTGTGCAGCACATTCAGATGGCGAAGACCATCACAAATGAGATATTCAGCTGGGTTTAGTAGATTTTTCCTGTGCAGTGAAAAGTACTTGGCCGGAGCCAGGTAGATAGTACTCTCAACCTTTTGCCAGGATGAATCGTAACGGGTTCTCCCGATCCCGGTAACATGACACAGGAATGTGGACCTGGAGTACAGCCATCGAACAAAGTGAAACCTTCTGGCAAGCTAAAATCCTATCAGACGACGAGCTTATCAGCGTACAAAAATCCTCGTTTCATCCCCTTGCAAATTAGATTAGGTCACATCTGGCGTGGGGTGTTTTAAAACCATTCGGTCATTCGCCATTCAGTGTGACTATATCGTTCATGTCTTGTTGCTTGTCTCCATGCTAAATACGGAACTGGTGTAATGATTTCAGACGTTTTGCTCAATTCTTTTGAACTGCTAAATCTGTTGGGGCTTTATATATAAGTGAGATATGCAAACTGAGGGTGAGTAAAGCTGAAACAAGAGCGTATATTGAAAGTGATCATTCCACAAGATTCTGCCTTGAGGAGGATCCTATTGCGGTAATGAGCGATGTCATAGACCACATGCAATCTTATGCAAATTTAAAAATAAGAGATGATATTCCTGTCTCTCCAAAAATCCACAATGATGCATGATGAATACCACTGGTCTTTGTTGAATTAGCACAATGGCACTGCTTGGTTGAGCCCTATCTACAATATGCGACCAAACTGTCAGGCCATTGTAGTTTGCCTGGTCAATCAGGTAGGAAACTGATGCCAATTTTGGGGGTATCTGTTCGACGAAGAGGTGAACCTGACTTGACGCAACCAAATAAACACGCTCTGCCCTTACTTTGCTTGACCAATACCACAACCCGGCAAGGTCCTGATGCCTTTTTCATAGATTGTCGCCATGTTTGGTGGTTTTTCAGAGTTTGTTGCATTCTCTCACAATCGCTGCTTGACAAAAGCCCAAAAAGTTTCAGCAAGTCTCGAATAAGTGCGGACTTCCGCTGGTTTCGTTTCGGTCGAGCTCAATAGAGTGAAAACAGCGGGTCAAAAGCCATCAATCGATAGTTACTTTAGCAAGCCCCGGACGGAGAGTAAGTTTGCTTGGGCTCCCTAAACACACATTCGATGACACCAAATTTGGTTTTACGAGAGATGCACCTGGAACCCATCTGAATCTCTCGTTTATGAGGGTTTTAAGCAACTAAATTTGCTGTGTTACGATATTCAAGATATCAGGATACATGTATAGACGTAATTCACTACTAATAAGGTTGCTGAAAATTCTTCGACAGTCGAAGCAGTAAATGCAGTTGCTTAGAAACATCCCAAACTAAAGATTCAGCTGAGGTCTAGATGAGTCTCTTGCAAAACCAAATTTGTTTGAAAATGGGTGTAGTTCGCCACAGTTTTTCTTTGATTGAGTACAACCCAATCCTACAATAATCCCTAAAGCTGATTATATTTTTCTCTTTGTTTTTGGTTGAATAGCACCATATTCAGTTGTTCCTCATGACGAAATTTTTTATTCAACAGAACTACTTCTATTTTGGCTTGTTTCATCAACATTTTTTGCATAAGATTATAAGAAACGAATCCAAAGGCTGCGAAATATTTTGAGCGCGTCCGAAAAATTGTTTTCCAAGCAGGCTCAAGCAAAACAGATATATTTGTAGGGTTGATTGATGTGTGCACAAGGTTAGCTGTCATAATGATAGGCAAACCATGCCTAATTTGATAGCGCGCTGTCGCTTTTCAATTACGTCTTGGTTCTTCTTATCTTCTGACTCTCTTCCCTTGAAGTGTTGCCATAGTAAGGGAATGGCAAACCGGAACTAATCCAGATGTTCGGTCAAGGCTTCCTTGCTAAAACCCCACGTCGAGAAAGCTCACTTTTCTACACATAACAAAAAGCTGGTTTACTTAGAAACCTTGGAATGTCTAAGAAATAAATGGAGTGTCCGAGTTCCCTTATTAGAAAGCTATACAGCCTAAGGACCAGATAGAAAGGTTGCTTGGGGAGACCAATATTTCAGAGAATATAAACAGTCATTTGCAAATCACAAGAGACTCAACTGAATCTCTCGTTTATGATGTTCTACAACTAAATGTGGTGCACACAGGCCGCCTCATGTTTCGGTTGGCACGATATTCAAGATATTGCTGTACATTTTCATAAAAGAAACCACTCACAAGTTTGCTGAAAACTTCCGGACAGCCCACGACCGCTTTCGTCCTTCTCGGGGCTCATCAGGTAAGCGCAGTTCCCGAGTTCCCGTCAACCTTATAACCTTATGATTCTCGAAAACAGTCCAATTTGGGTTCAAGTAGATCATAAGGTTGACGGAAACTCGGCGACTGCGCCTACCTGGTGAACCCTGAGAAGGGCAAAACAGGTCGTGGGCTGTCGAAGAGTTTTAAGCAACCTTGTGAGGTTTCCTTTATGAAAATATAAACAGTGTTTCTTAGAGATATCCTGTTCCATTGCTGGGAAAAACGGTCTGAGAAGCCTGAGAGTACCACACAACTTAATAAGTAATGCATCGTTTGTACAATAATCGTCAGGAGGAGAAAGAATAACCAAAAATGATACGAGATCGACTCAGGAACAAGTTCCAGGGATTGTTCTGTTTTGTGAATTTAGAATCTGTCACCCACAGTCATCAGGTTGAAAAAAACTACGAAAATAGCATGCATTCCAAGTAGGACAGGTGGGTCGTGTGAACATGTAAGCGGGTTTAATTGGGGAAGGGATTAAACCTGAGGACATTGGTTTAGAACAGTAATTGAGAGCTGGTTGATAAAAGAGTGGTGGGAAAATGCGAGAGTGGATTTGGGAAACGCGGGTTCCAGCCTGTCTTAAATTTTCTGGTTTTGGAGAAAAATACTAATGCTATCTCATTCAGCGCAAGGGTGTTTATTTGAAATGGAAAATGACAGTGGGATTGGTGTCTTTGGTGCGCATGCGTGTGAAATCGATTAAATCGATATGGTTTGGCAATTCTCAGCTGCTGGAGAAATCGGAAATTGAACTCACACTAAAGTAGATTTTTAGAGTCCACTAGTATAACTATGAGCACTGATAAAGCTAAGGGGAAAACGCATGCATAAGACCACACACCTCAATTTCTCGGTGGACACCAACATTTCGTTACAGTCTAACGCACCAGAATGAAAAAGTCGTTTTATTTCCAGGACACGTTTCAAACTTTTCAACTGAAGTTCTTCATATTCGAGTAGTTACTACGTTCATCTGCATTCATAACCAATAAAAATTCGTATTATACTCATAAAAACTTGCGAGAACCCAATCGATTGCCGAAGGTTGGTGATGCAGATTGCACAGGAACGATGCATGTTTTGGCAACAACGCGAACCTATCAAATCAGCTGCGTCCTTCCGCTTGTAAGAAATAGTTGCTGAAGAACTTATGGATCGATGTCAATGGCTTCAAGCTCGCGGAAAAAGAAGGAATTTGTCCTCAGAGTGCTAATCTCTCCTCAGATGTGTACCACAACAGAGAGGTACACAAGTGAGAAGGGACTGCGACAATGTGTTTATATGCAATTTGTTTCAGATGCTCAATTATCTTGCTACTGACAATTTCCTCAGTTAATCGACTTGCACCTACATTTATGCCTCAACACACTTATTATCATATCTATATAGTTTGTCAGATTTTCCAGAAATTTCATTACAGTTTGACAGCTTCATTTATCATTCAACATCGTATTCACTCACTCATCCGCTTATCCACTCTGTTCTAGTCAATCCACTCATTTGTCCACTCATCCATCGCAGGGGACAAGAGAAACTTCATTTGCTCCCGGCCACGGACCGGTTGAAATCGATGGTCGATACCAGGATCAAATTCGGATGGCATATGGGCAGATAGCGAGCACCCATTCGTACTTTCTCCCCTGTTTTATACCTTAGATGCTTGGTTTGAGTTTAAATTATATCACGACTGAAGAAAAAACTGAAAAATTAAAATTGTTTTGCACATGCCAGCTAATCAACCGAAAGATTCTGTTTGCTTACTGAATAAACAACACCGTGTTTGTTTAACTGGCGAGAAATCTCGTGATGTGAGTTTCTGGTTGGATACAAAGCAAAACCACCTTCTCAAGCATATGGTCACCACTACAGTTGGATGCTGTTGTACCAATATGCTCGACCTGACTAATTATCTGAGCGAATAGATGTGTACTAAATATGACGTTTTGTGGCAGTGAGTATGATATAGGTGGCCGCGATCGTTTATTGTCACCAAATCGATGGACCACCTTCAAAACTAAATAGTATTCTGCGCTTTTGCGCACTGATAAATCCCATGTGTTTCAAACGGCACATTTCCGAATATAAAATTGGAACTACCAGTGTAACGATGAATACTACTGGGGCATGCGGGTAGTATCTGGTTTTCTCATATATGCGCTTTGCGTCTCTTGAAAAGTGAGATCTGTTAGGGAATTTGTTGAACTGCTTTGCAGCATTCGTTTACACTTGAGTGATAGTCAATAAGTATTCGGTAAAGCTGAAGACACGTTCAAGATGGATATTCAATTTTTGCAAACAAGATGCATCTGAGAGTTTTGCTTCCCTGTTCAATAATTTGTAACTGTTCAGTTCGCGTTTCCAATTAAACAACTCCACAGCAAAGGCTTTATTTTCACCAGGACTGTGTTCCCTTGCTCAGGGAGTAAGTTATATGAACTGTATTGTGATGGGCGCATTTTTCGGGGTGCTGAGCGTGAAAAGACTACAACGTTTTGTAAGTATTTGGTGAAGCGGAAGTTCAATTTACCTGTAAACAAATCAATCACATACGGTACCCACCTAAGTAGGCCGGAAAATACAATCCGGACTAGAGTATTTTGTCGGGAGGAGTTTTGGGATATGAAAAAGTGAAGGGTGCTAATTACGGAAAACTCGTTCTACAATCAAGATATTTTCAGTGATCGGCCAAACCACATGGGAAATTTTCAAGAACGATCCATTTATTTATTCTGTTAGAGAACCAGCAATACTCGTAAGATCAGACATTTGTCAAGGCAATTGACTTGTAACCGCCTGCTCAGCGGCTTATGAGACGTTCACTGACGGCTTTCTTTACTTATGGTTGACCAAAAATGTCTATATTTGGATTCCAGCACCAGATTCTTTTCTGAATCATCATCGTCATCAACAGCATAACATCAATGGTGCCTCTGGTGCCTCTGCCAAACAGCCGTATTTTATTTGAAAGACCTCTTTTGAAGAAAAGAATGAAGCAGGTCATTCTGGGGTGCCTAGACCTCCAGTACACGTTTAGGCAATCTTGACGGAAACGGATAGCGTTATCCAAATCAACTAGCAGGGCCTAGACCTCCAGTACACGTTTAGGCAATTTTGACGGAAATTGATAGCGTTATCCAAATCAACTAGCAGACATGTTTTGCAACATCTTCAATCGGCTACCGTGGACATCATGTGGGCACTATCCTGGAAAGGGAGTTGTGCCGACGGGATCCAAAAACGAGAGATTCACCTGGGCTCCAGATGAGTCTCCTGCAAAGCCGAATTGGTTTGCAAATGAGTGTATTTTGCTAATTCCGCGCAATTTGGTTTCAAGTAGAACATAAGGTTGACGGAAATTCAAGGACTGCGCCCACCTGATGGGCCCCAATAAGGGCATAACCGATCGTGGGCCGTCAACAAATTTTCAGCAACCTTGTGAGTAGTGCATTGCGTGTATGCTCATCTTTTGTTTCTAGCATTGCCACAGGATACTCGAGCTCCTTAGTATTAAAATGGGACAAGTGTTACGTGCGACGAATTTATGAGGATTCTTCCATTTAAGCTTTGCTCACCGAGATTGACGACTGGAAGTTGCTCAGAAGTGAAGTCAAATCAGTTTTTTGGTAGGCGAGTTCTTGAAAACAGACTTCGCACAGAATCCAGGAGTGTCCCGTTTGAAGGGCATTTAGTCAGTTTACGGATTCAAGCAGACTCTCTGCTTTGATTCGTACTCCAAAAGGGCATCAATACTTGACCGCTGATTGCGAATGGGTTGCAGTAATCCCACTAATCTTTCGGCCTGTGTGCACCTTTCAGTTTTCATCTTAACATCACAAGTAAGTTTCTCAAATGTATTCCGTCTTTTCATAATGGAAACTACTCCCAAGGTTGCT